CAAATTTTTCTGATTTGGAGTTGTAGTTCTTTTTGGAATATCTCCAGAGAAATGGGTCAGTTTGAAGTCCCAGATATGATGTACCACCAGCACCTTTATAGTTTTTATCTCACCTGCAATCTTTAAGAAATTTTAACAGAATTATTTAGTTCAAACATCCTCAAATAAATGGTTTATACAATATAACAGCATTAACATGCATATACATATATAACGCTTTAGGATCTAATTTCTTTGCATAGAAAAATAGGAACTAACAATGCTTTACACATTAAAGAGCACTTTGACATGAGGGCAGTCAACATGTCAACCTGATATTCTGTGGATGGAGTGGGCCAAACCCAAACTTTGTCACAGCAGAGTAAATTGGAACTATCCGTTGGAGTGCTGTGTGTGTGTGTGTGTGTGTGTGTGTGTGTGTGTGGGGGGGAGAAACTGTTGTTAGCCTAGGCAGCTAGCGGTTGGTGATAAGACAAAGGCTGGTTGTTTGCTGTCTCTTTCAATGCTGCCCAGCCATTAAAGCTAACCTGTTATCTGATGGAGGCCAGACTGGACACATCCTGTCTAGCTAGTCAACTGGATACACAGTAAGGCTTTGTGTCTGTGGAGGTGTGTACCTGCATATGTTTTTGTCTACTCCCACCTTCAATCCTTGAACCTGAATCCATGGTATGCATGTGTGTTTGTGTCCATTCAGGCTTTATAACTGCTTTTACACATGCTCAGCCAGTGGAGTGGAGCTCCAGCTATTCTCCCATAGAATGGCCTTGTTTTGTGCTTGGAGAGTGGGTATGTGTGTTGTTTTGTGAGTTGCTGGTCAAGTGGCTCTTTCCATGTCTCCTGCATCTACTGTTTGTATTTGTTTCTGTCCTCAGTGTTCAGTCCTCCAAAAACATGAACCAACACAAAAAATCAGCACTCTACTTAGTAATACAGTCATGTTCACATGTGGTTATGTATGTGATCTAATTCACCGAGGTTATGAATCTTCTCTTTCCAATTCCAAATGCCCAATATGACATTTCATTTGGAAAGTCTGTGCAGAAAATGAAGACAATGACCTCAAGCCTGTAATCACAATCTAAATTTGTGAAGATCTGGAGCTGGTAGCAGATAAAGTAGCATCATTGTTCATAGTACTAATTCAGAAAATGTAGAGAAATTTATATAAAAAGGCTCAGGTAAGGGCTGCAGCTGACTGACTGATCTTCACAGCGCTTCTGCTTCATTTAACAAAAGAAATTAGGACAAAAAGTACAGTTATTGCCAAACATCAGGAAATGCAGTGCCAAAATTCAAAACATCTTCATCAGGAATACTTTTTTTAAACTTATGTTTCTACACTGAGACAATACTAAGTTCTAATACTTGTCCCACCAACATAGTTCCTACAGCCCAGGAAAACACATGCATACATACTGCACACTGAATACAATATCTTTATTGTCATTGTATCTAGTACAATGAGATTAAAAAGCCATCTAGTCAGTGTGGCAATTACACACTAATATACACACACAATAAAAAATGTATAAAAAAACATAATAATAAATAATAAAAAACAAACACACCACCATACCTTCTCACACTCATCAATTGTACAAACCTTGCTCCGCTAAAAACTATGAATGAGTATTTCCTCAGTGGGAATATCTCACATCAGGTTAGTTTAGCTGAATTGAGCTGTTTGTTGAATCTACTTGTCCTAGTCTTAATTGATCTTACTGTCTGCCTAACGGCAACAGTTCAAATAAATGGTGACCAGGATGAGAGGTGTCTCTTATGATATTCTGTGCTTTTTTGAGACAACAGGAACTGTCTAGTCCTTCCAATGTAGGGAGAGGGCAGCCAACAATCTTCTGGGCCATGTTAATGACTTTCTGGAGCAAATTCCTCTGAGTCCCTGTACGGCTGGTGTACCACACACACACATGCAGTGCGTTAATATGCTCTCTATTGAGCACCGATAAAAGGATACCTCCAGTCTCTGACTGACCACTCTCAGAAAGTGCAGTCTCTGCTGAGCCTTTTTTAGCAGCTCAGAGGCATTCACACTCCAGGTCAAATCCTCCTCAATGTGGACTCCCAGAAAATGAAAGTCCACCACCCTCTCCACACAGTTCCCGTTAATGATTAGCGATGGAATGTCCATGTTCCTCTTCCTATAGTCTGTTATAAGCGCCTTCATCTTTGAAGTGTTAATGAGCAGGTTGTTCTCTCTGTCCCACTCTATCAGCTGCTGCACCTCATCCCTGTAGGCAGACTCATCCCCCCCAGAGATAAGTCCCACCACCGTGGTGTCGTCTGCAAAACTTAACGATGGTGTTACTGGTGTGTGCAGAGCTGCAATCGTAGGTATAGAGGACATAGCGCAGGGGGCTCAGCACACAGCCCTGCGGGGAGCCGGTACTGATGCTGGGAGCCATAGATACTGTATATGGTTCCCCACTCTAAACCTCTGACTGCAACCTGATAGAAAGCTGTATATCCATGTGCAAATTGAATGTGGAAGTCCCAAAACCCCTAGTTTGTCCACCAGTTTGTGAGGAAGAATGGTGTTAAACACCAAGCCATAATTTACAAAGAGCAGCTGCACATAGCTGCCCTGCTGCTCCAGGTGGGAAAGAGCAGCATGGAGAGCCATAGCTATGATATCCTCCATAGATCTTTTTGCCCTGTACACAAACTGGTGGGAATCAAAACTTGGGGGGAGGAATGATGTAATATAATCCCAGACCAGTTTCTCGAAACGTTTCATCACCACCAGATTGAGTGCAACTGTTCGGTAGTCAGTGAGGCTGGAAATATACGGTTTCTTGGACAGGGGAACCATGATTGAAGACTTCAGACAGAGTAGAACAACGGATTGCGACAAGAGCCAGTTAAAGATCTTAGTCAAGACTCTAGCCAACTGGACCACACAGTCCTTCAACACGCATCCGGGGATGCCATTGGATCCAGTAGCCTTCCTTGGGTTGATGGCCCGTAACACACGCCTCACACTGCACTCATCAGTTGTAAGGGTGGTACTGTTTTGGACCGAAGGCGGCAGTGTGGCTGCTTTTGATTGTTCCACTTCAAAGCAGGCTAAGATGTTCAACTCCTCTGCCATTGCGGCGTCCCCTGCCACAGCTCAGAGGTTGGTCCTATAGTTGGTCAGATGCTGGACTCCTTGCCACACCTGCCTGCTGTTATTGCTGTCCAAATGGTGTTCAATCCTCCTCCTATAGTCCAACTTGGCCACACTGATGCCTCTCTTCAGGTTCCCTCGCACCGTGCTGTAAAGGGCCCTGTCACCAGACCTAAAAGCAATGTTCCTTTCTTTCAGAAGCCACTGGACATCCCTGGTCATCCAGGGCTCCCGATTTGGATAGACCCAGATGCACTTGTCCACTGTGACAGTGTCTATGCAGTACCTAATATAGCACAGAACACTGTCTGTGAATATCTCCAGGTCCTGATGTTCAAAAACATCCCAGTTGGTCCTGGCGAAACAGTCCTGCAGCTGCTGAGAGGCACCATCAGGCCAAGTTTTAACAATCTTAGTAGTAATTGGAGCAGTTTTCTTAAGGGAAGCATATGCAGGGATTAAAAACAGGGACACATGATCCAACTGGCCCAAGTGTGATAATGGTCTAGCCCTGTAGCCCCTCTTGATGTTAGAATAAACCTTGTCCAATGTGTTAGCTCCCCTAGTAGCACACTTCACGTGCAGATAGAATTTGGGTAGCACTGCCTTCAAGTCCACATGATTAAAGTCCCCTGCTATAATGTGCACAGCATCAGGACATATGCTCTAATGGTACCATACAAATGAACACTAGCTGAATTAGCATTTGCATCTGGTGGTATATACACAGCTGTTTACATGACCATAGAGAACTCGGACGGTAGAAGGACCTGCATTTAACAGTCATAAACTCCAGGTTCGAGGTGCAGTGACTATCTACCATCACTTTATTGGTATACCAGTTGTTATTGATGTACACACAAAGGCCCCCTCCTCTGCTCTTACCAGAGTCCCTTGTCCATGGCGCTGTACAGTATAGCCCACTATCTCAATAGCAGAGTCCGTAATAAGTGGATGGAAGCCAAGTCTCCGTTATCAACAGAATGCAACTATCCTTCCCAAAGTTGTTAGTAGCAATCTGTACCCTCAGTTCATCTATCTTATTAATGAGGAATCTGGTGTTCATAAGATAGATACTAGGAAGTGGTGTGTGTGTGTGGCTACCTTCTGAGCCTGCCTAGCACATCTGCCCTGCAGCCCCGCTTCTGCTTCCTTTCTCTACACCGCCTTTGCCTCCTCCCCGCACGAATGGTAATCCACAGGGAGCTGGGACTCCTCGCTATGTCCACCGGAATGTTATGTAAGTGGAGAGACTCAGTCGTAACACTTCACTCGTGACAAACTAGAGAAGGTTTTAAATGCAGAATAAAAAGTTGCTATGCTTATTACAAAGTATACAGATCACTGAATCAATGCTATGTGTGTTTGCATGCATTTCTCCATATTTAAAGGTTTTTTTTAAAACATACATTTCTCTGAGATGACTTTTTCAAAAGTGTCCAGACACTTCTCCTTACAAACATGCAGCTCAGCACAATGTTTAGTCTAAAATTCAAAATGCAATAATGCAGCCAAAACACTACATCTCAGGATATGCCCTTTGTCAAAATGACAAACACCATTACAATATGACCATGTCCCAGGATGGGCTGTAAACCACATGCTCTACATAGTACATTCTGTATTCTGCCTCACTCCTGTATTGCTAATATGGCACCATTCTAGTGGTCTTTTGTAGAAATATGACACTTCTCTGTGCTGGGAGAGGGATTGCTTCCTATGACAATATACAGTACATTATACATACTGTATGTTGTGTGAGAGAGAGTTATATCGGTCCCAAATGCAGCACACAAGGAAAGACATAGAACAGATAAAGCATAGGAGTCTTATTGTAGAACAATATAATGAGACTGAATCACTCTGGAGCTGGGAGTGGTGAGTTGATCTGGTTGCAATTCTCTGGAACAGCAGGATGAGGCCACTCACACAGGTTAATATTCTCTTGGCTCCTGTGACAGAAACTCAAAGTAAGGCTTTTTAATAGTAGCAGAGAGTGAATGAGATGATCTAGTGGCTTTGTGCACTCACATATATGTAATTGTCTCTTTCAGCAGGTAAATCGTGAAGAACCACAGGAGGCAGCAAGAGAACAGCATTGGCTGATTCCAGAAGATGCAGTCGTGGACCCAAATGGCAGATCAGGTGAGTGGCAAGGTAGGTAGGGCTAGGGACAACAGGACACCATGCCATGATGAAAAAAAGTAGAAACTCTTTCTTTTTTCACAGGACCCAGGTAGATAGGCGATGAAGCCAGACAGGTAAGTAAACTCTGCACAGGAATGGGTGTAGCTGCAGACAGGAGGAGAAACTCAGAACTGGATGTAAGTGTAACATAATTAGTTCCTGGGCAGCTGCTGAGGAGCAAAGAGGAGGAGAGAAACAAGTGAGCGGGTCCCAGAAGGCTGGAGAAAAACAATCACAAAACACAAAATCTATCATCTTGGTTAAAGGAAAGTTTGAAACAAAATACTATGCTGTGCACACAGGGAAAAATGAGAAGAAAAAGGCAGAATAAAGGGCAGAGACAAAATTTACACAGTAGCTCAGGGGAGAAAACCAGGAAGCTTCTTCAACATCTCCACAAGAAACAATCATACAGAGTTTGACTTACAAAGGGCTGCAGCAGAATTGTTACCAGAGGCAGAAACAGGCCAAAACACAGGCTGGCTGGCAGGCAGGCTGACACAGGTTCAAGATTACATGTGAACAAAGTGATTGGAGAGCTCCTTGAACAGCGAGAGACTTTCTGGCAACTGAAAAGTAGCACAATACAGGTTAAATGGGCAGCCAGGAAACAAGACACAAGTGGAACCAAAAAGCCAGAAATTAGGCTGAGCAAATCTGGAATGAGTGACACAGTGCCAAACAGGAAACTCCTAACAAAATAAGAGCCTCAGCCAGGATTTTGGGGAAGGATCATGAAATGTTCATAATATAAACATCTCTTTGCTAATACTGTATCTAAACCTTGCCTGTGCCCCCAACTATGCAGATATTTTTACATTCAGGGCCTATATTGTTTATTTACAGTGCATATTAGTTCCCAAATCTAGTTAGATCTCCTTTAATACTTTTCATATTTTATTCTTATTATTGATTTATACCTATATCATTAAACTTGATTTTTCCTTATAATCTACTTAGGTTTATATAGAGTGTAGCCTTAACTGTAGACCTTCCTGACATCCTTTGTTGTTCTTTCTGTTGAACTTGTGAAGTGGCTGCTGATAATACAAATTTGTACCTTTGGGAATTAATAAAGAATTCTATCTATCTATCTATCTGTTTATCTAATTTTATTACCTTGTAGAAGTCATTAAGACAGGTCATCAAGGAATAAAATGGACAGTCAGGGTTGTTTGCTGCAATTAAGAATTTATGCATTATTATTTTGATAAATTTCTTTTTTTAAGTATATTTACACCATATTTTAATGTTTTTGATGAACAGACATATCATAAACATATCCCGAATAAAAACTAGCAGCACTGTTTTATTTACAGGAAATTTTCACCCTGAATATCAGAGTTGTCTAAAGGCCAAATCACTGACCTTTGGCTGACCCTCACAAGGGGGCTTTTCCCATCATTGTACTTATGTAGAGTATATGTTTATGTTTGTTTCCTACTTAATATTCCAAAACACTTGAGAGGAACAGTTACATGTTTTACTCCATTACATGTAACTGACACCTGGGTCCTGTTAGAATCTAATTTGGCAAAGGAAATCATTAGATCACAGATTAAAATGTGATCCATTATTCCAGATTAAATTATGTAGCAGTGCATAAAAGTATCAGCTACAGACTGATGTTTATAACGAGGTGTCGCTTTGGGAAAATGTCACAGTTCCTCCCAGATCCAGTGGTGCAGGAAGTATTCCCATCTTTTCTATGCAGAACGGCCCATTTCACATCCAGGTGTGTATCATATAATGATTTTATTTGGTCAAGTATGTTACACACACAAGGAATTTGTTTCCGGTACAGTACCGAGGCAGCCATCTGCAGTGCCAACTCGCACCAATGGCTCTAACCATCAAGAGCAACTTGGGGTTCAGTGTCTTGCCTAAGGACGCTTTGACATGTGGAAACCATAATTTGAAGTGCCAACCCCCTGGTTGGGAGACAACTGCTTTACCCACTGAACCACAGTCGCATTGGATCATAACGACTGATGCATTATTGTTTTCATCGCTTTGACGTAGCAGTTGGTAAAGGTGGGGCTAGTGGGAACTACCTTATATACTTCTAGTGTGAACTCCCTAGTGCTGGGTAGCTTGAAAATTTCCCAGCAGGATCAATAAAGTCTTAGGATTGTACAGTTTCGTTTTATTCCCCTGACTGTGAAAAGTAAAGCTTTCACTTAAATTTGCAGTAATTATGAATGTTAGGTATAAAATTTATATGAAACAGTTTTGAATATAGTATGTAAACATGAAGAAAGGAGTGTAAAAACACTGAGTTTTGGTGATGGTGACTGAGCGACAAAAGAATCCAACCTTCGAAAGATGCGTTCACTGAATGCATTTTTTTGTCAAAGCAATGAAAAATTGTCCACATTTTAGCACTGTTGAATAAAAAAAAAAATCAAAATAAAACAAAAACCAACAACAGAACAACACAGTGAAGAACAGTCACTGCAGAACTCACTGTAGTGTAAAGTCAGACTATATAATGCAGTCATCATTATTATTCAAAGGTAAATATGTACAATGCTGTGATGTTCTAATAATTATGGCCAAAATTGTGATGTTTTCTTTTTCCTTACAACATAACATTGTGTTTGCAGTTTTGAATATTAAATGTCTGTTTGTAAAACTGAGTCAAGTTATGATAAAATGTATCTCTGGGCTACATATAGCTACATAAATGGGAAAGCCTAAGAAAAAGTCATAAAAACAAAGAGTTTTCAAACAGATAATCACTATATCTGGGGATGGCACAACTGCTCTATTTCTGTTTCTCAAAGACAGCCAACAATTTTCATGTTTTTCATTGTGTTCTGGCAAGGCTCAACAGGCATTTGCTTGAGACAGAGGCCATCTCTAGTGGGCTGAACAATAGATGACAAACAGGTCTCTTCATGAATCCTTATACACCTGACAGGATCAAAACACTAGCTTTCAGTTTTCAGACTAGAAAACCATTAGAGACATTGATAAATGTCTTCTAAATATCCTTAAATCCAAGTGGATTTTTGTGGCTATTTTAACAAAATTCCCTCAAGGGGTTCCTGAGATACCATATTTATAAAAATGGGACAAATGTACTTATGCAAGTATGAATGGACAACCCAAAAACAACCCAGTATGGAGGCAAAAAAGTATAGCACACCTCCAAGTGTAGACTGTTCCAAACATCATTTGAACCAAAACTGAACCTGCAGCAATGTGAGGGTATATAAAGTTCCAGCAGACAGCAGAATCCAGGCTTCTACTGATCAGAACAAAGTTATACACCAAACATATACATGTATGTGTGTATATATATATATTGGCCCATTGGCAGCACCTTCTTTGTAGCCTGACATACTGCAGCTGTTACCTGCTGGGTCCAATGCAAAGCTGCTTAACAGGACTCATCTGGGATCAGTGACAGATGGACAACCTGTCCTGGAAAGCTGAGCATCACCAGAGCTCCAAGGAAACAGGTAAACCTGTTGATCTGAGCCTTGAAGAGACCCTAGGATATTCACAGTGTAATCACAAGATTTAACAACTGAGGTGCAGTTACAAAAATACTAAATATGAGCACAACCCTGCAAACAAGTGTTGTCATAGGCAAGTGAGTCCTGTGCTTTAATTTAGGGCCAGAAACTTCCAGAATGACTTGAGGGGAGGTAACTTGAGTTTTTCTTTGTTTGTTTAATTTTTTGTTTAGCTGATTGACTAGAATGAATGAAAATACATCTAAAAATGTAGTTTTAAATGTTAGACTTCTCCACATTTATGGTCACTTCCATATTGAAGACAGTACCACCATTTTAGGTGGTCATCATTACAGGGACATTTTATTAGACACATCAAGTCGACATGAAAGAACTAGCAGCGTGGAAGGCCAACTGTTGCATTGCCTCAAGTTGCCTTTGACTGGGCCATTTGAGTTAAAAAATTGGCACTTGAATACACCACACAGCCAACAGTCAATTAGCACTTATATTCTGTGCCTGTGTGGGACTCCCCCTACCAGCAGGTGGATAAGGATAATCACCTTTATTGGCCAAGTATGTTACAAGGAATTTGTTTCCGGTACAGAACCAATGGCAGTTATCTGCGGCACCACCTCAACCAATGGCTCTAACCATTGGGGGCATCAGGGGGGAGTTCAGTGTCTTGCCCAAGGACACTTCGACACGTGGACTGCCGGCACCGAGATTCAAACCTTCAACCTTCTGGTTGGGAGACAACTGCTCTACCCACTGCACTCTGTATTCGCCATTCAGAAAGGGAAAGAAGAAGAGCTAGACTGCAGATATACAAGCTGTAAACAAAGTAGCTAACATTCAAAACTGCTGCTGTTTATAGCTGCCTCTAATGAAAATGAAAATTATAAGTTCAGGAGCAGGACCATGCAGGTGACTTTTTCCTGTCACTTGCCTACAAATACCCAACACTTTGGCTACCAAGTACTTTTGTTTCTCATAAATGTTAGTGGCAATTTCATCCTTATGAGCTATTTCTCTACAGTGTCTTGCCAATTCTCCATGCCAGCTGGTCAGGGACTTCATCTCCCATTTCACTTCAAAAGACGAGCTGCTGTACCTTGGACAGGCCCAGGGTCTTTTTCCCACTGATTCTCCGACACATACTGGGCTCTATCCTATCCTACATCTGGCATACATTCACTGTTCAACCACTCCATCCTCAGCTGTTTACAGTATCTAACTCATCATTATTGCTACCATTCTGTGGGGCCACAAGTGAACAAGAAAGTCAGTCCTTGTACATTCAGACAACCAAACAGTGGTCAACATCATTAATAAATCCCAGAGTGACTCTCTAGTTATTATGCCATTCATTTGTCGCCTAACTTGGCTATCTACATATAATGCACAGGTTCCTAATTAAATTCAAATACATTCCAGGGCATCTCAACCAAACTGCTGATGCTCTCTCTCATTTTTCTTTTCAGACATTCAGAGAATTGATGCCACATGCAGACCCAGACCAAACACTAGTGCTTTCCATTCTGCAACCATGCTCACCAGCTGAACCCCCATCTGACAAGCTTGCTCACATTAGCTTGGGACACTATCCTCTACAGAATCACCCCACCCACCCTTTCTTCCTATTGGACAGCATGGAACACCTTCTGTTCATTTCATAACCAATTCCACATCCTGTTCCCATCCTTCACCAAACCATAACCAGCTTTACGTCCTACCTTTTCTACCTAAAACACCACAAAGTACCAACCGTCAAAGGTTACCTGAGTGGAATCAGTTTCTTTCATAAGCTCATCACCAGAAATCATGACACCCCTGCCACTCAAGCTTAACGTAGCATGTTAATTAAAGGTTTGCAGCAGGCTTCTCCACCTACATCTCCTAAGCACCTGCCATTCACATCAGACATGTTAAGCTTATATATGCACATCTTATGCCACAAACTCCAACCCTGCCAATTGATTCTCACCCTACAAGCATTGTTCTCTCTAGCCTTCTTTGGCTGTCTCTGATGTTCAGAATTCACTG